TTCTTCGTATAGAAGGTACTGAAAAAGATAAACAAGAATTAATTTCAATCTGTGAAAAAAAGTATATAGACAATAAAGAAGAAATGAAGAATGTTCGTGAATTCAAGCGAAATTATAAATCTGATCAAGCCTTATGGTGGTATACGAAGGAATCGTTTCTCTATCGGATGTTGAACAAAGCATTACGTAGACAAGATACTTCTTTGCTTTATCTTATGCGATTCTTCATCGGTGATCTTTGGAAAGCAATTGAAAAGCATCGATGTCAACAACCGATTCGGACTTACCGATGTCAATCGATATCGCAGGAAGAATTCGATGGATTGTTAAATGCAACAGGAAAATTAATTTCAATGACTTCATTTGTTTCAACAAGTCTCGATGCACAGGAAGCTCGCAGCTTTCTTGATCATTCGGATGGTCTTCGAAAAGTTTTCTTTGAAATTGATGCTGATCCTCGACTTCAAGGAGTCAAACCGTTTGCTGACGTCACCAAACTCAGTGCACATCCTGACGAAAGAGAAGTGATCATGACAGTTGGATCTGTCTATCGGATTCTTAATGTGAACCGTGACGACGATCAATTTTGGGTCATTCGAATGCAATTATGCAGCGAACATGAAAACAGTCTAAGGTTCACTATCGAGCACATGAAATTGGAAAATCTTGTCGTAGGTCACGAACAGAAACGTCTTGCATTCGTCACGCAATTAATTAAGATGAATAAACTTGACGAAGCCGAAAAACATCTTTGTTATTTACAGGAGATGATGCCTAATAATCATAAGGATATCATTTCTTTGTACTCTAAACTAGGAGATCTTGTATTCGAAAAAGATGATTTATCAAAAAGTCTCTATTGGTATCAATTAGCATTAGACCAAAAACAAAAAATTCTCAAATTGAATGATCCTAATCTTGCCGATAGTTACAATAGTATTGGCAATGTCCATGCAAAGCAAAAGACTCATGAAGAAGCACTTAAATACTATAACAAAGCTATGAAAATTTGGAAGCAAACTTTTGGTGAAGAACACTTAGCCATTGCTACGTGCCTCAGTAACATAGGTACGATTTATGACAGTCAGAAACAATATTTCAAAGCATATCAGTATCATAATCAGGCCTTGATGATTCGTAGAAAACTTCGTCCTTATGATCATCCAGATGTGGCTACATCGTTACATAATCTGGGCCTTGTCTTCAAAAGTACTGGGGACTTGAAAAAAGCGCTACAATATTTCGAAGAGTCGATCCTAATTAAAGAAAAGTCTCTTTCATTCAGACATCCATCAATTGCTTTAACATGGGAAAATATGGCTTCCGTTCACGAACAGAATTCTGAATTCCGGAAAGCACTTATGTATTACGAAAAAGCAGCTGAATGTTACATTAATAAGGATAAATCCGCCAAGGACAAGCTGGCTAATGTTGCACAAGATATTCAGCGACTCAAATTGAAACTGAAAAAAAAATAATGCTTGTTCATTTTCATGTAAGAAAACATGTAAATCTTAATTAATAAATGGTGAAACTAATCAGACCTATCTCACTTTCTTGTCCTGACCTAGAGTATATATAGGGTGTGAATGTGCGTATAGGCGTTTCTCTTTTTGAATCACTCCGACATTCACACCCACATCTCCCTAGCTACACCGCTGGTGAAGACCATTATCGAACCTTTCATGACGCCTTTGCAAACTATTATAGTGAGAAGAAGAGTTCGTGATTGGAATACTCGAAAGAAACTCAAAGTATAACTGGATGTTTTCGTTGAGAAATTTAAAAATCGTTAAACTGTTCAAAAGTATGATAGGATTCGACATGAATCTATATGAGCTAACCTTGCATAAGTACGATATGAATAGATGTATCTCATATTCTCAGACAACTTCCAAAATCTAGTGAATAAAATCCAATTATTTTTCGCTCAAGATACTTGTCAGACAGTCTTCAGATGAACTGGAATATCAAAAAATATATTTTTCTGGAAGTCTTCTATGGAAGTGGTGTAAATTCCATGACTTCATTTATTCTCAATGTTTGTAATAGATTTTATTTTCATAATACTATTATCAATAACATTGATTCTACGTAGAAGTAAGATGATGTCACTTGTTTGCTTTGCTAATTATCTCGACTAGCACGTCGTATTTGCGATCGTATCCGAGAATGTTGCCGACGAAGCGAACACGCGTTTGCCCGACCACGTTTTCCAGAGCCTTAAGCGTAACGGGCATCTGTGTCTCGTCGAACTGGTTCTTGTCTTGAGGTAGCAACTGGAACATGGTGTCATCGAACAACCACACGCCCGCGTCCGGTTTACTTGGTTGACTGGGCTTTCCACGTGGCATGACGATACCCTGTGAAACAAACGTCACCGCCTGGTCGGTTTGCATTTGAAGGTGGTAGGCAGGAATCTCTCCTGTTTCGTCGGCCTCACCCAAGTATTGGTCCACGGCTGTAATCTTGAATCCGGCACTGCTGCTTTGCACTACATTGCACACCGTGATGAATAATATGAATCCGACACAAAAAGCGAAGCGTGATACGTCCATCAATGTATTTGCTTGTTGAATGAAGCGAGAAAGTGAATAAGGAAGGCGATGTAAATGAAAGAAAGTAAGCAAGCGACAGAATGCAAAAAAAAATAACGACGATAAGAAGAAAATTTGGTGTTCGACAGCTGCTTTTTATTCGCACTGTGTATTAGGCGTGCGACAGCCCCATATCACTTACGCAGCGGATGATAATCGTTTTTTTTTTGATATTACTGCTTATTCTCTTTCTCGTACAGAACAGTCTAGCAAAACTAAATTGTTTGCTTGCTTGCTTGTATATCCGCACTTCACTGATTGACTCAAAAATAATGTGAAAACACAAAGGATGTTCTTTTTATAAAGTTTGACCAAAGGTTTTTTGGGTCGGGGAATCCATTGGTACCATTAGTTTTTTATGATTTTTCAAAAAAAAAATTTTTACAAAAAAACGACTTTTTAAAAAAAAAAATAATTTTTTTTAAAAAGTTTGATCAGAGGGTTTTTTGGATTGGGGAATCCAATGGTAACATTCATTTTTTCATAATTTTAGAAAAAAATTTTTTTTTACCAAAAAAACGACTTTTTCTCTTTCTCGTAGAGAAGAGTCTAGCAAACATAAATTGTCTGATTGCTTGCTTGCTTGTATGCCCGCACTTCAGTGATTGGTCCAAGAATAATGTGAAAACAAAAAGGATTATTTTCCATAAAACTTGACCAAATGTAATCCGGGCTGAGGAGTTCAAATCTGAGGCCATTTTTAATTAATTAATTATTAATTACTAATTAACTGATTATTAATATTTTCCATAAACTTGACCAAAGATAATTGAGGGTGGGGAATCCAAATCTAAGGTCAGATTTAATTAATTAGTTATTAACTGGTTATTAATTATCAATGTTCTCCAAAAAATTTGACCAAAGGTAATAGAAGGCGGAGAATTCGAACCCGAGGTCAGTCTCACTTTTCTTTTACTACTGTTTTTAGTAAAGTTTTCGTCTAGAAAATTGATCAAAGGCTATTGAAGGTAAAAAACCGGAACCTGTGATTATTTTCTGTTAACACCATAGCAAGAATAACGAGCAGTAAGATTTACGAAATATTTCTAATGAAAGAAAGTCTCTAGGACTAACAATGGAGGTGTTTGTGCTGTCCCCGCGAAAAATGCAATCTATTAACATCAAATGAAAGCTCTCAGTGCCAAACTAACAAGGTTAAAATATAGGCTGCCCTTGGCCTGTCTTAAGAGAGATATTCAATTTTTACGATAGTCATTTTTTGTGTATATAGCAACATTAAGATCATTTTGTATCAATTTTTCATAGAATCAACGGAGTATTTTAATGATAGGCTTCGAGAATCTTTTTAAAGTATATCAATAACAGTAAGATGACATTCGCTTTAGCCTCTTCTGAAGCTCGAATAATATCAGTATAGATAAATATCAGATAACAGTTATTGAAAATTTCAGTCCATCTATAGTTCTTATTTTATTCGAAATGGAAAAAAATAGGTTATAGAATACACTAATTCAATAGATATACTATAAATGAAGATGTAAATCTTCAATCAAATGATAATAGCATAAAGTATTTTTCCACCAAGCACATTTTAATAATGTTCATTCATCACAATCTTGGAATGAACAGTATAAATCATAAAATTTGAAACAAATGTCTTTTGGTTTTTCGATCTGTCCAATTGTTTCATTAGTTATTCGAGCTTGTATAAATCCACTCTTAATGAGGTTTTCGAATTGTGGAGCTGATAGTTGATTATGGATGACGGAATGTACGCTGATGAAATATTGCCGATCACTTAAATTCATTTGTGTTCGATTTTCTTGTGGGAATATCGCCATGAACGAAGTAATGATAAATCTTGAGGTTGAATATGACCGGTTGATCCTTCGGGAAAAATCAATAGTTGACTGTCTTGATGTAGAAATACTTTTCGAAATTTATTTTGATCAGTTTGAATTGTTCAAGAATCAAGGAAGAGAAGAAATTTTTTATGTACGCAAGGACGTAGTGCATCATTTAAAAATATATAATGGTTTGCAGCAGTGCTTTTTCCGGATTTTGATGCTTGCACTATACCATTTGGTGGAATAATCATGTTTTTTACCACTATACCGCCAAATTCATCTTCTCTTTCTTGAAGAACAAGTAAGAATTTGTTCAGTAATCGACCAGTAGCTGATGTAACAGGTTGCACTGTATAGGAATGAGTGACATTGTGCTTTCTTTTAATAGCCACTTCTGTTGTTCTTTCGCCAGTGAAAGAGTTCGTGGAGAGACATACTCTTCTTGAAATGAACAATGATCGCTATTTAAAATTTGATCAGAAGAATACTTTGATATCAATGTTCTTTTACTTTCAATCCAATTTCGAACATCTAAAATATTTTGTAAATTAGATAGTACATATTTTTCAACAGCAAGTAAAAGTTTAATTACCATTTAAGCTGCAGACTTTTCTATTCGATCTAATTCGAGTAATGAATTTATTGTACCATCGCGATGATATACCATTTTCTTTTTTAAAAGTATTGATAAAGGATTTGCTTGTCTTGAAGGTATCCCAATCTAATTCTCTTGCTTTTTGAATTGCGTAAAGTTCTAAATCATCATCATGAACAACTTCTTTTTCAACTGTTCTTTTCAAATAAAATTCATTAAATATAAATTCCTTTATTTGTTTTTATTTTTCTAATTTGGCGCCGGTATTTTCAACGTATTTTCTAAACCTTAATATATACTTCATGGATTTGATTTTCCGAAATCGATGAGAAATATTTGTAAATCTAGCATTTGGATGTTCATCAACCCATTCGATTATATTTTCCATTTCTTCTAATGTAAAATGATTTTTTATATCATAGTGTTCATTCTCATTATAATCATCAGCTTCACCATCACTATCTTCTTCTTGATCGGTTGTTTCGTCATATTCATCATCGGTTTCTTCATCATCAGTTAATTCATCATATTGATCAGCTAATTCGAGAGTATCATAAGTATAAATTTCACTGAAATAGCTATCTTTAAATGACTTCAGAACCTGGAACAACTGCTTGGAAGCACAAATTTCATCAGTAGTAATAGCAGAATGCTCATATCCATATTCAGTTTGAGTTAAATAAACAAGATGTTTAGTGATATTCAATAAATTCATGTTTTAATTTGATTAAATGAATCTTTTTATAGGTTAAATATAGCAGAGAAAACAAGAGAGCAACTATTGAATAGTATATGTCTTGGTAATTTCTTGACACCAATCATACAGAAATGGTCAATAGACCACCAAGTGATACATCAATGCACTTTTAGTGCATGAATTAAGGGTATAAGTCAATTGTCAAATGCATTATATAACTTGCTTTCATTTTAATTGTATTGAATTTTCAGAAGAGGCTAAAGCTAATGTCATTTTACTGTTATTGATATGCTTTAAAAAGATTCTCGAAGCCTATCATTAAAATACTCCGTTGATTCTATGAAAAATTGCTACAAAATGATCTTAATGTTGCTATATACACAAAAAATGACTACCGTAAAAATTGAATATCTCTCTTAAGACAGGCCAAGGGCAGCCTATATTTTAACCTTGTTAGTTTGGCACTGAGAGCTTTCATTTGATGCTAATAGATTGCATTTTTCTCGGGGACAGCACAAACACCTCCATTGTCAGACCTTCCCCAGTATCCTATATCCCCATTCTCACCTTGTATGTATTAAGGAATAGCGTTGAATTTATCCCAAAATGCTTAAGGATTTACTGAAAGGTCCTAATAATCCCCAAAAAAAAATCCCGGTAGCTGCTGTGCGATTCTCCTAGCTACATCGAATTTCATCTAAAAATACGCATCCTTTCAGAAGTTATAACGTTTTGAATATTTGCTACATGTTGCAGCTGAAATCCAACATATACAAAAATCCTGGTTACGCCACTATTTGTTATCCTTGGTTATCAAAGTTTTATCGTTTTATGTACATCAGAAATATTTTAATTTTGACCACAACATACATATATATATCTGTTGAGGATGTCTACGAGATGTATCAGTCTTCAATTGCAGTAATTAAAGGTATCCACTTGAGAGTAAAGCAACGCAATATTATTGAAATTGCCACAAACAGTTTTGGGCTGAGCAAGAACAATGCATATCATCGTTCAGTTATTGTTATTCGTTATGGCGTTTACAATAGTTTTTAATTGTCAAGGTGGAGGTGGAAGCAAACGAGGCAGAAGCAGTGGAATCGTCAATATTCCAAGACGTAAGTCTTTATTTACTCAAAAGTATCGAAACATTTAGAAAATTTTACAAAATTATTCGTCGAATAGAAATATGAATTTTCTGAACATATATCTAAATCTTACATCATGTAATCATCAAATTTTATCTAACCAAAAGTTTTCGTATTATTAGTGATGAAGTTCATATCACAACATTGATTTGCATCTAATATAAAAATTATTAAAGAATATTTCTAATTAAGTTCTAAAATTTGTCTTATTCAATTAAAACAGTAAAAATTATTTTATAGGCAAAAAAAAAGGTAATTATTGAGGAATTAAATCTTTTGCATTTTTAAAATTACTGTTTATCTATAATCATATTTTTCAAGCTGTAAGAGGCAATGAAACGTATGTGTCGAATTTAGTGAAAGAAGAAATCATTTAGATTTTCTGAAAAACTAAAAAATTCAATTTCGATGACTACTTATACTATTTCTTTAGCTGTTTTTATTTCGAAAAAATTAATTGAAATTTAATTATTTCTAGTTCATCTCAAGCTCTAAGAAAATACATGCACAGATGATGCGTGTATGCGTAAAGAACAAATTGAAAAGTGGATCTCTCTAGGGATCACTTTATTTATGATACTCAGGTTTGATTTTTTGATTTCGCGGCGTGGTAAACCCTGGTAATCCAATGTTACCTATGTCAATTCATCGCCAATGGTGGTTGATAAGCAAGATCTTAAAACGTTCGTATGGGGCATATGGTCTAGTCAATATTATCAATATAGAAGATGGCATGGACCTTATCAACTTTTGATATTATTCAATCCTGAAACATTGGCAATGACAGGTTCTGAAGTTGCTAATGTTGGTGCGTACACTATTGAAGGTATTTATTCAACTAAAACCAATAGAAGTGGACTTCAGAAGACATATCAGAATGCAACAGGAAATCGCAAACAGAACCTTGGACATAATGTTACAATCCAAGTTTGTTGGGACTCAAGCAAACATTGATTTGTAGGAAAATGGTATGTCAAGACAAGCCAATATAGAGGACATGGTATATTCGAGCTTTAACGTAAGAAAAGTTATACAACTATGAAATGAGAAATTGTTTTCTCATTTTTTTTAAATTTGAAAAAAATCAATGCACTAAATCAAAATTGAGTTCTTGTTTCTTAAATTATGATATTCAAAAAATATACGAATAGAAAATAACTATTTTCTAAGTTCTTCCAAACCATTCGATTCTATGTGAAATAATAGTTTCGAAATTACTCTACTCTAAAAATAGTTTCTTTTTTTAATCGAATCGTGCTCATTCGAGAATAGGAAACATATCGCTTGATTAAGAAATTTATCTTTATAAACGATCGAAAAGTAGCATGCTGATGTTCTTGTGAATTTTTTTTTCATGATCGCTATTTACGGGTCCGGATAGTATGCACCGAGATTACATCGTCGATATGGGTAACTACTTTTAGATGATGGTGATATCCAATTTGGACGAATTTCAACAGCAGGTGATAATGATGGATATTTCTTTTGAAGTTCTTTTAATATTGTCGATCGATTCTCGTGTATTGGATAACACACGTAGTTGGCAGCTGCTGAAGATGACCATTCTCGATTGTAGCTATCCTGATAAGTTGTGGTAGCCGTCTTTGGTTTGAATATTGAATATTGAGGAGAAGTTCGTTCATTAATATATCTATTACATTCATTACAATAGTATATTGAATTTTGTGAGGATAACCTGCATGGATTATTTGATGAAATTGAAGTATACATTGAAGAGACATTATTTGAAGAAGTTGATTTTATTAGTAAATATATTGGTGATGTTTGTTGTCGTTTTAGTTCCTTAATATCATTTTTGATGTGATTCAATTCATGCCGAATTGCTCTCGCATTTGACATGACGACTTCATTGCTCTTATTATTGGTGCTCAATCATATCGTCTTAGGCTGTTGTGTAGATGTTGAAGACTCAAAATGATTATTATAATTGTTCGTTTGTGTTGTCGCAGATGAAGTTGGTCGATAAATCACTGTTGAATACATGCCTGTCTGCCTATAATACAAAAGAAATTTAATAGAGTATTATAAGAAATTTCTTTCTGTAATAATTTCATCGCACAAATTCATTGGTTTGTTTTTTCTTTCATTTTGTGCAAATCAATCAAGATTTAAAATCATAAGTCATATTGAAAAACTGTAAAGAGATCCTACCAACTTACTTAACAAATACAACGTTTTGAATAATAATATATGATAGAAGTTAGATTTGTGTGTGTGTTTGTTTTTAGTAGTTTGGTGACGAACTCATCGAAAATAAGCAATCATGCTTTATTCAAGTTTCAGAGATTTCTAAGGAAAGAATTAAAGAAAAAATAACCTCAGCATTGTGCTGTTGTTTTTTCTTGACATGCGATTTCTTTTTTGTAAAGTATATTGATTCAGTCTCTATGACATTCTACAGCAAAGAATATGATATGAATGTTAATGAATATAAGAAACAAAAAAAATCACAAACAAGTGAGAAACAAAGATTAAAATGAAAGATCACCGGAGAAACACATTAGCCTTTATACAAACAAGACAAATCAGTTCAGTTGTGTTTGTAAACCAATTGAATGCAACGATAATTATATTCGCCTTTATCCAGCAGCTACCGAGATTTATTTAATTCGGATTTTTGGGGACTTATCAATAGATGAAGGCGAGAAAGAGGATGTGAGTATAGGTATGCTGAAATATAATCACAATTAATAAATTCTCACTAAATAAATCAATCTCGAAACACTAAGTTTCGGTAGTTTCTGTTTAAATATTGTTATAAATAAAAAATAGGACATTGTTTCGAAAGACAAAATTTAAATAGTACAACTAATCTAAAGAACGTTTCTTATGCTTTTCGTTTATTTAACCTCTCTCTTTAAAGAAATAAAATAGAAAATGTTTACTCATCAAATTCTAATATATGATGATTGATCAAACAATTTATGATCTCAATTCTAAAAAACGAATGAAAAAATATGATGTATTTTTATCAAAATGAATTTTTTTCATTTTTATTTAATCAACATTCGGTATTTGAAAGAAAAAGAAGAAGTCATATATTGCATTACTATTATCAAATCGGATGATTCAAAATAATTACTTAGGGTTATCCAAAAGTAGTGGGCCAGGTTCTTTTTTT